TGTCAAATTTGTAGTTTTCTTTATTGGTTTTGAGTGTTTATCTTAAAACTCAAGTTTTTTGGTTCTTTGCTCTTGGTGTAAATCGAACATATTTGTGGAGTCGTTTAAATATGTTGAATTTTAAATATATTGGATTTCAAACTGTCATACAATTTTTTTCATCGATAGTTTGTAATTAGAACCATAACTCATATTTATTCAAATTGTATTAATATGTAAAGATCAAGTGTAACATATATCATCGTTAAATCTTGTCTTATAAAACCAGTGAAACTTCAAAATCGTTAAAATTCATGGCTCCCGCCGCATTGTGCGGGTACACAACGAATGATCATATAAACATAAAAATGTAAAGAATATTCAACTATGATACACATTATATTACGTAATTGATAAATATATGGAAACCATTTTGTGTTACCACTAAACATGTTGCTTTTACCCCTTTTATGTAAGGACCAATATGGTTGTATGGTGGTAAGGATCAATGAGGTATAATAACTACTCACATGATGAATTTTTCATCGCATAAAAAGTCGTGATACTAAAATTTTGATGTAATAGTTTGACTTAAATGTACGAATACTAAAAAATTTATGTAATAGTTTGACTTAAATGTACGAGATGTCGTGTTAGATAACTATTACATTTACTCACCGTCTTGAACTGTATATAGGTCTTTGTTGAAAATGCAATAAAGAGCGGTGGTAATAGTAACTACATGATGACTAGAGTCTCATTTCTTGCTATAAATTCGACTTAAAATCATTCGACTAACAATCAACCAAAATGGCTCTAAACTCTCGGCTCCTTCTCCTTGTGATACTAGCCTTCTTTGGTGCAATCCTCTTTTGTGGATGTGTCTCCACCACCATCATCAACGGTAAAGACACTATGAATGGAGTTGGGGGAGGGGATGTCGAAGAGCATTACTTGAAAGAGTTGGGGAAGTATGCAGTGGCAGCTCACAACCTTGAGTCACAACATAAGTTGACATTCCAGAAGGTTATCAGTTGTGAGCACCTTTCAAAGTTGAATCACAAGTTGACGATTGCAGCATCAGAGAGTGGTGTTACGCATACCTACGAAGCAGTGGTTTGTGACAAACCATGGATACAATTCAAGAAACTTATTTCCTTTCACATTGCTTAGAGGAAATTTGTATCCAAATCATAAATAAAGTAAAGAAAAATGAATGAATAAATAAAAAAAAACCCTAAATGTTGCGTCTTTATTTTATCTTTATGTTCACACAAACTCGAAAACAAATAACATGTTCACAATATTTCCAATTTCAAAGATCCAACATATCTTTTGTTAATCAAGCCCTTATAAAATGGAGTTTTTTTTTTTTTTGTTGCATAGTGATCATCTTATTTTTTGTAATTTTTCTAATATAGTTTGGTAAAACATTTATCGGTCGTACACGTATTCTTTCTTAATCATATTACTTAAAGAGTAAACACATAAATAGTCATCATGGCATGTCCGACAAACTGAAAGAGAGAGAGGGGGATCAAGTTTTTTTCCTTGTAAATATGCCAAATCACCTTTTCATATAAAATAACTAAATGTCTTTGTGAGCGGTGCACAATTGCACATGATGACACTTAAAAGAAAGCCATAGATGGTTGTTGAGATGAGAGACCAAAAACACAACAAACTTGTACCACAAGAGTTTTTTTTGCATTTTCTTTTTGTAATAAACAAAGCCATGAGGTGAAAAAAAAAACACAATACCACATAACCAAAACCATATTTTACTTCAAAAAAATGTTGGCATATGCATCATCACAACTGGCAATGACGCAACGAGCAACAATACATGGAAGTAACATGGACAACAAGTAAAATGTGAAAATAAGACCGTTGAATTAAAAGAGATGGATTAGTTGCAAAATTCTATCACCGATATCAAACTCATTCAAATTTTAAAAGTGTAAACGTGCTGTTCCAAGCATACTCAATGACATTCTTGGTCAAAGCATCTGAACACGAGGATTTCAAGCAACCCTTTTGTATGTTTTCTTAAAACTTTGTTTGTTAAAAGCCTGAACAGTAAATGATGAAATATATCATCCTCAAGGTTACTACAACAGAAAGAATCTGATCAACAAATAAATGTCCGTAGCAATAAATCTATCATCATTTTTCAAAGTATAATGAAAATACTCGTCAAATTTTATGTTAGGTTTATGTTTCTATCGTATCAAATTCAGCGAATCAAACCGATCAAATATCTAATTTGATACGACTTTAAATCGGTACATTTATGTATGTTAATTTGATAAAAATAAGACGGAAATTTAAATAAAGAATTGGATTAGTATAAGATGAGAATCAGTTACGGTTAAAAGAGGGGCCCAGATTCTACTGTAGAAATCTGCTGAAGACGCTCATCCACAGAAACAAGCAGTGTCACATTCCCACACCCTCTTCACGGTCGCCGTGAATCGTCTCGCCGTCCTCCCTTTTCTCTCTTACCTGCCGAAAACGACCACCGCCGGAGCAGAACAACCATAGCCATAGCACCGCCGACATGAAAGGTCTCTTCAAGTCAAAGCCTAAGACGCCGGTTGACCTCGTTCGTCAAACTCGGGATCTCCTCATATTCGCCGACTCCAAGCCCGATAGTCGCGAAAGCAAACGCGAGGAAAAGGTTGGGATCGTTATTTTACTAGGTTAGGTTAAATTTGGTTGTTGGATGGAATCTGTTGGTATTTTTTTTTATTGTTTTGATTTTGTTTGCGCAAACTTAATCGGAGTTTCGATGATGCAGATATATTACTACCGGTGCTATCTATATGTAATTATGTAGGGTTGTGATTTTAATTCTCTTGTTGATTTCATGTTTGTTCTTGCTTGTTTGTTATTGATTGCATTATAAAATTTGGATCTTTATATGGAAGAATTTCATTTAGTCGTATCGCATAATTCGCATTGGGGATATAAAACCGTTGCATTTAATCTGTGAATTCTTTTCCGATTCTTCTTTTCTTCTCATCTCTCTTGCTCTTGCTCCATCCGTAGTTTCTCCTGTTGTAATTTTGGTAGTTACTCCTTGGATTATCTGTGCGTACGTTGCTGATTTAAAATAGAAGACTTTCTTAACTATATAGACTTAGACTACTTCATTGATCTGATCTTTGTAACATGCTTTAAATTGGCAGTTTGCATCATTGAGTAAGCTTCTCCGTGAACTAAAGCAAATTCTGTATGGGAACAGTGAAGCCGAGCCAGTCTCCGAAGCTTGTGCTCAACTGACTCAAGAGTTCTTTAAAGAAAACACGCTCCGTTTGTTGATAGTTTGTCTCCCAAAATTGAACTTGGAAGTAAGCATCTTTCTAGCATCGTTCATTGATGATCTTGAGCTTTGCATTTTACACTCAAAAGGATGGTTATGCTGTACATATCTAGATGACTTCTTCTGAGTGAATTCCTTATAAAATTCTCTTATCATCTGAAAATTTGATATCATGTTTGATAGGCTCGCAAGGATGCTACTCAAATTGTTGCAAACCTGCAACGGCAACAAGTTCAGTCACGGTTGATTGCATGCGACTATTTGGAGGCAAATATTGATCTAATGGATATCTTGGCCACAGGGTAAGCTTTAGGTGTACCCTTTAGAAGGCACTCTCTATTATTTATGCTGTTTATACTGTTCACAGGTGTCTTTTCATAGTAACGGAATGGTAATCAACTTAACTGATTTTTGACTTAGCTAGTTATGGATCTTTTAACTTGTTCTCCAAGGTGCGAGCTCTTTCATTGCACGCATAATGGGAAATTGAGGTTCTGAATATTTTTAATTATAGATGATGTGAAGCTAGCTTGTATACTTACTAAACTAAAGGTCCTGAAGTCAGTTGGAGGGGATCATGGTAAACACCTTCAATTGTGATAATGATTGGTAGGCTTAAGTGTCTGATAAGGAGGGTGGGATTGGTTTCGTGGTCATTTGGCTTTTATAAGTGGGAACATGGAAATAGTCTACTATATGATATTATCTTGTTCTTTGAAATAATATAACAATTGTATTTACATTTATGGGACTGTGACATTGTTGAGCAGAGGTTAGCCTTGTCCTTTTTCCGAACAGTTTGGGGTTGCTGCGAGTGGAGTTCTTTTTCTGTGGTACACTCATTAAGCCCATTTAGAGCCTTACCCTCACTAAAATATTTATTGCTTTAAGATGTCCATAAAACCTCGCAAGGGTCATTGTACTTTTCTAAGAACACCTTGTTGGGCTACTTCTGAGAACACCACTTTGTGTGCACTTTTGTTGAATTACTGAAGGTTCTCATCTTTGTTATATGTCCTTCCTTAGTTCATTCCAATCAATTATGATGGATTTTTTATGCATACTTTACTAATTCAATGGCGCTTCTTTGAGACATCGTGTCAACCCTCATATTGACAATAAGTATTGATGGTAGGTGTCTGTCAAAAGGATAGGATGATGTCCCTTCTTTTTGTATAAATATTTATTAATGGGATACTAGATAGGAAAACGTAAGCTTCCCCTTGCAAAGGTTGGAATTGTGTTTCATGATCTTTATCTAGATGCTGTCCAAGTTCTTCCTTAAGCGGAGAGACTTGTTCTCCCGACCTTCTCCCTTTTCCAAAGAATTTCTTTTCCTGTTTGGGTTCTAATCATTTTGTTTGAATATTACACATGGTTTGACTCTTATGGGTGTTGAATGTTTTTCTTTTTCTCATTTAGTTATGAGAATCCAGATATGGCATTGCATTATGGTGCTATGCTGAGGGAATGCATACGTCATCAAAGTGTTGCTAGGTGAGTTAAATTTTTTTTTTTGATTAACCTGGATATCCAACCCGCTATGCGAGCCAACTAATCCCAGGGCGACCACCTGCTTTGCAGATAGCCCGAAGTCACGCATTTGAACCTCCGTGGCCACAAGGGGATTTTTATTCCTCCTTGGATAAAAGTTTATCTACACTAAGAGTTACTTATGTGAGATGAAACTTCAAACATCTTTCTAGAAATTTGAAAAGAATCTCTTTCATTATTTATGTAGAAAAATTTGATCATATGTATAGAAATCTAAGTGTCAATTAATTCAAGTTACTTTCAGAGAAAGAATCTGTTTGGAAGTACATGCTGTTTTGCTTTAAAGGTTGAACTTCTCTTTGTCAGAGAAAGAAGAGTTTTTTGGGTGCAGTCCTTAGGTCATGGGTTCCAACCCCCTCCTCATTACCTTTCCTAAAAGAAACGGAAACAAGATATCCTGTGTATTGCACAATGCCATCCTTTATTACTTGACCATTTTTGAGTTTTCTTGATTCATTTTACAGATATGTTTTGGAGTCGGAGCATATGAAGAAGTTCTTTGATATTATTCAACTTCCAAATTTCGATATTGCCGCTGATGCCGCAGCAACGTTCAAGGTTTAGTGCATTGCATCTAATTAGAAATTTTGGCGTTTTATATTACATATGATTGTATGGTACTATAACATATGTGTTTGCATTTTGTTTGGTATATCTATATAATCAATACTCTTTGAAGACACAATTCTTTTGTTGTTATGATGTTATGTTCTTAGAAGTGAGTCTTCATCCACCAAATAGATTGATTGTCTCTTAGATAGATTAAACTAAGGGTGACGACTTTGACAAACAGTCATTCTTCTTTTGTAGTGATTAATACGTCTTGGGTGCTTTGCAATCTTTTTAAATCATATTATATGCAATGGCTGAAGCAGTACCACAACTTTGAATCTTAAATGTTAGCATTTTTGTTGCAGGAACTCTTGACACGACACAAATCAACCGTTGCTGAGTTTCTTTCTAAAAACTACGACTGGGTAACTGATACTATTTGAATTACATCTTATAACAGATATGCAATTATATTTTCGTAGTTTACACTAATCTGATAAAGTCCTTCAATATTATATGATTCTATTACAAGCAATTGGATTTAGTTTAACTATGTTAACTTGGCATTCATATAAATCTTCAAGAATGAAGGGGGATTATATGTGGTTTTATTAAGTAATCCATCTACATAACACATGATTCATTGTGAATACGTTTCTCTTCTCAGTTTTTCGCAGAGTACAACTCAAAGCTTCTTGAGTCTCCCAATTACATAACCAGAAGACAAGCCATCAAGGTGAGACACGGTTTTTTTTTTAATTCTTTTCCTGGAGTGCGGTTTGCTATTTTGACTTTTGGGGGCTTAAAATGAAATCCCAATACTTGGTTTGCAGACCTCTCTCATAAGGGTATATATTAATTAGAAGTTGTTAAACAAGACTTTCTTGTTATCACTTAAAGCAATGATCTTTATGTGCATGCATTTGCAATTTAAAAAGCTATTGCGTTCTTTTGTTATCCTTATTTTTGATAATTGGGATTATATATCTTGCAGCTGTTGGGAGACATGTTGCTAGATCGTTCAAATTCTGCTGTGATGACACGATATGCGAGTTCAAGGGACAACTTGAGGATCTTGATGAATCTTCTGAGAGTATGATTGATTAGTAAGTTAAAACTTGGAAATCGTGAAATGACTATGATCTCATAATTTAAAATTGGGCAGGAGTCGAGCAAGAGCATTCAGATAGAAGCATTTCATGTTTTTAAGGTACCACATTTGGAGTTTAAGATATTATTTGTTGTGTGATTGGGTGGATTTTAAACAAATAAATTTTGTTCAACAGTTGTTTGCAGCCAACCAGAATAAGCCGGCCGACATCATCAGCATACTTGTTGCAAATAGAAGCAAACTTCTGCGGCTGTTTGCTGATTTCAAGCCGGATAAAGGTGAGTGTGATAATGAATATGGCAATGAAATGAAAATGAAAATGGGAATTTAGCCTAGAATGAAAATTTGGGTTGTTGGAGGGATGAGTCTATTATATTATATAAAACAAAATAATTTATTTTATTTTCAATTAAATTAATTATTGTTTAATATCTCTGACCTCATAATGATGCCAGAGGATGAGCAGTTTGAAGCTGACAAAGCTCAAGTGGTTAGAGAGATTGCTGGGCTAGAACCACGAGACCATTAAATGAGAAGGAGCATTGAATTAATGTGAAATAAATATATATTGAGATGAGATGAGATGGGATGGGATAATAGAGAGAGAGATTATTGCTATCTTTAAATAATAAACTGAATTAATGTTTTTGGGGATAGAAAAAGGATGTTGATCTCATCAGACCCAATTGTATTATTATTATTATTATTTATATATTATTATTATTATTATTATTATTATTGGTATCCACATGTTATCTCAATCATATCTTATTGTATTGATTTGAAAGTTATTGAGTTCAATTATTATTTTGAAATTTGAGGTTTTTTTCTTTTTCTTTTTGACTCATTAGCCTTAAGAACATCAATGTTCTATGAATGAATGAATGTCCTTCTCTAATCCTATATTTTATATGGGCAATTTAGCTCAATGAACTTCAACAAACTTGCAATTTATGTTTTTGTCGACATATTAGTGTCAATAGGGTGGCTGTTTTTTTGGAGGCTAATTTGTAGTGGTCGATAAAACTCCTCAATATCATTCAACAGAGGTGCCGAGATGGCCAAAAGGTGGAGACTTAGAGTGGTGGTACCTCTCTATAAGCATAGAGGTGATGCTTAGTGTTGCAACTATCGTGACATAAAGCTACTTAGTCACACAATGAAGTTGTAGGAGTTGGTGGTAGAGATCAGGACAAGGTGCAAAATAGAAGTGATAAAAAACCAATTTGGCTTCATGCAGAGAGGTCCACAATAGAGGCAATACACGTGCTCAGGAAATTGTTAGAGAAGTATATTGAACATATTGAGGACCTTCACTTGGTATTCATAGACTTGGAGAAGGCCTTTGATAGTGTTCCATGACACGTGATTTGGAGGAGTCTAGAAATGAAGGGGGGGGGGGGGGGGGGGGTTCTTAGAGGTATATTAGAGCGATTCAAGACATGTATGAGAGAACGGGGACTTGTGTTAGAAACGAGTGGGGGAAGCAGGGTATTTCCTAGTGGAGACATGCCTACACCAAGGATCAACACTAAGCCTTTTTGTAGTTAGTCACCTGCAGCCTACCTTTTGAAGACCATAATGTAAGTAACTCAATGCTCCATACATGGGAAATGAAAGCAGAATTCATTCAGATCCTCCCATGTGTTCAATATTTCTTTAGCAGTGCCCTAGAGATCTTTATCATTATTGCAACCTTCATTTTTTGCTATGATTTTGGATGAGATCTCCAGGGGATCCAAGGATGTGTTCCATGGTGTATGATATTCACTGACGACATTATGTCGGTAGTAGAGTCGAAAATAGAGGTCAACAAGAGGTCGGAGTAGTAGAAGATGACTTTGGAAGTTCAATGTTAGCGAATATAGTTGCTGTAAGACAAAATATATGTGGTGCTATTTCAATGGGGAGCGTTAGACGAGGGGTGGAAGCCAATATATGATTGGGGGGGGGGGGGACAGGTACTACAAAAGAACAATTTCAAATATTTAGATTCCGTGTTTCAAGAAGAGGGAGAGGGAGAGGTCGAGGAGGATAAAACACATTGCATAAAAAAGCCATGTGGAGAGAGTTGCCACATAGGTGTTGTATGACAAGAATATTCCGTTAAAACTAGAGGACGAATTCAACAGGATAATCATCCGACTAGATATGTTATATGGGTCGGAATGATGCGGACAAGGAAAGCCGTTGAGAGGAGGTTAGAAATTACTTAAATGGGAATACTTAGCTGGAACTGTATGTTAAATATAATTGTGAAGGAGATTTTTTCATTCAAAGTTAATAACAACGGATAAATTGAGGGATGAAGATGTTGGTTTGGGCACGTTTATAGAAGACCAATTACAAGAGAGTGAAAAGAGTGATTACTAAGTACATAAGAAACATTTGACATGTAAATTGGGTTTTTTTTATTTATTTGCAAGTGTGAAAAAGTCATTGGATTAGCATTAGCATTATCATTAGCATTAGTAATTTAATATCCATTAAAATATAATTATTGTTCTAATTATTATAATGATTACGCAATCTCTTCAATATAAAATAATATATGCTTCTCATTTTTAATTCCAATAAATAATGGTATTACTAAATCAAGTATATATTTTTTGAACATATCATTTAAGTATATCATATTTGTTTTAATATCTATAATAATCTATATTATATTATAAATTATTTGAAGTACAAGTTTTAAAAATAATTTTTTATACATTAAATATTGTTTATTGATGAACATTACATAAAATTCAAGATATATAGACAAAAGATGCATGCGTATAACTTTTTAAAACTGCATGTTTGAATTCATAAAATTAACTGATAAATATAATCAAATACAAAATAAAAATCTAAATATAACTAGGATAATAATCGAGCCTCACAGAATAAGTTATCATAATCTTTAAAAAAATACATTACCTTAGTAAGACTTCCATATTTACATATTCTTAAAACTACACATTTGAACTCCGTAAAACTACCTGATAATCAATGGATAAATACGTGTAAATATAAGATAAGTGTTCAAATCCATTAATAAACTGATAAAGAACCGAAAACATTCTCGCTTTCTGAAAACCATATAAACTTTGTGGGGTTAGCTCAACCAATAATAAGGCTTGGTGTGACATTCTGTCATTTCGGAGTTTCAGGTTAGCATTTTATTATAGATCCTATATTTAGAAATTATATTTCTCTAGGATCTGGTCTCAGCGATTTGAATTCTTCTGGCTTAGCTCCCAAGTTTTATTCGGTAGATCACGCCTCAGTGGGAGATCAGATACAGTTAACTCGTGTAATGCCAAATATTTTAGAAATGCTTTTAATAAAATAAAGTTGATATTATAAACTCTTAAATTAAAATACGAAAGTCTCATTTGAGTGTCCACTTGATTAAAAAAAATGGAGTTTTGGATTTATTAATGCTATTATATTAATGTTTGGGCAAATTATATAGTGGGTTTATTTGTATTAAGAAAATAAAAGTCTTGTTTGAGTTTGGGCCTTTAGAAGCCAACCCATTTTCTTTCCTTAAAAATCCTCATATAAATATCCCTCATCCTTTGAAAACTCTCATTTCCACGCATTGCCAACTTAAAAATTCTTCGTCTCTCTCTAAGAGCAAACACTCTCTAGACGATTCCATCTTCAAGCAAGAAATTCTCTCAATCTTGAAGATTCTTCAAGATTATAAAAATGTATGATACTAATTATTTTACTTTTGTAAAACATCATAAGGTTTGCATCTTTTTTCTTCCACATTTTGATCTTTTAGTTAAAAAATTTCCGAAGAACTAAAGAGGAGAGATTATTCATCAAAGACATGAAAATATCTTCAAAAAAGATAATAATCTATGATCCATGTTCTTTGAACTCCAAAGTGGGAAGAAAAACTTTTTGCATGTGAAGCTTGAGCATGTAAAATTTAGTTTTGAAGTGATAAATCTTGCATGCATCTTTAATCTATCCTATCTTTATCGAAAACTCAAAGGAATCGGGAAATATTCTTCCCTAGAGATTTAAATTTATTTCTCTAGCTTGAAAATGGTGTTAAAACTTGGAAAATGATGAGTTCGACCCCAAATGACTGCCACTCGGTGAGCGTGCAATCTGTTTTGGCGGCTGTGTAACTCAAGGTTGCAGGATAATGATGAGGAATTTAAAACCCACTCAAACTTCTTCGTACTTGGAAATAGTCGGCTGAGCTCATTATTTTTAAATGATGTGATAAGTTGGGCATAAAATGGCTTTTGGAAGGTTCCTATTTTTAGAGTTTTGAGGAACCCAAAAATATTTGGAACATAATTTATAATCTGTCCAAAAATCAGCTTTTGAGTAAATAATTTTGATTTCTTTTATTTTAGATAAATTTTGGGCTGTTTTTAGATTAAATAATAAAATATCGACCTTATTTCATAAAAATCCGATGACATTACATGAGATTCAACTTGACTCTATCTTCGTCAAGAACCCATAGGTGATCTGAATGTTGGATGTTGGTCTATTTAGGAAGGCAAGGCAGATATTGAGAGCTTCAGACTCCGTTCTCTTGGATATTCATCATCAAACCAGTGAGTTCTCACGGCCCCACTTTTAATGCTTTGTTTATTGTTTTGGGGGAAAAACATGAGATTAAGCAAACTATGCATGTTACTTGTTTGAAACCATTGGACTAAGGAACTGCTTAGTCAAGCTTTGTTTGAAACCATTGGACTAAGGAACTGCTTAGTCAAGTTTATTATGTCATGAAATATTGACTGTTACTGCACTTTGAAATAAATGCTAAATTGATGTGCTTGGGAGTATATTTTCCAAATAAAGTCCTCGTCCGTAAACGCTACTTGTTAACTTGGGTACATCCTCAGGCCGTGGTATTGTGGATAACCGCTATTGTGTTGACAGTCCCACCCAGAAAGGGGTGCACATTACTTATGTTTTCTTGTCTAATCATGTGGAATTTGGACCACTGCTGAATTAGTACATCTACGAACTGTGGGACCTAAGTAAGTGTACGAGCTACTTATGGTCGTTTGTAAAATAATGGGGAAGTTGGTAAGGTAAGGCTCAGTAGCGTATCAAGTTTTTACATCGTGGAAGATTTACATTTATTAAGTGCAAAAGATTTGCATAAGTTTACAAATATTTGGTTTATGCATTAAAGTGTTTTATGCATATGAAAACCCGTGAGCTCACCAACTCTTTGTAGTTGACTCGTTTTATGTTCCATGCTTTTCAGGTAGCAAGTAAGAAATGAAGTATTTTGGGAGCATATTTGTGGCAAAACTGATTAAGTTCGCAATGGAAGCTTTTGTAAAAGAAGTATTTGTAAAATTTTTGGTTATGATGTTAAACTCATTTTATTTTGAAAAATTGAAAAGTGTTAATTATTAATTGTTGCTGTGACTCGCTTGCCTGTTACATCTCGTGTTTCCGCTTTAGCGGGGTGTGACACTTGGGCATTTGGGGATCCCCTTCTGAGAAGTTACCGGTTCAAGATTTGCAAAATCATTGAGGATTTTCTTAACTGTTCTCTAAGTCATTTGGATTAGTCAAAACTGTCGCGGACGCCAACGATTAACAAAAAAAATGTATGACTATGCATTGCACGAATACAGTTCTAATCTTAATAAGTGAAACGTATAGATATGTTTTATATTCCAAAAACATTTAAGCAATCAATAATTATTTGTTAAAATATGTATTTGAATGAAGATAGTATGCATATAAAAATGTAGTTTTGTGAGTATAATTAAACATATACGTTTAAGATTTGAAGGTGGTGAGAATTGAAATGGAGTATAAAATCTGTATACGCAATTTATATTTTAAAAGCCAAGTATGTAGAATATTAATATTTTTTCTTTAATTATTTTAAAAATAGACTAATTTACAGGTCTTACTTATTTAATTATCAATTTATTAAATAATATGGTAACATCTTAAATTTACAAGAAAAAAACAAAAAGAATAATTAAAATAAAAAGTGAAGTTAAAAGGCACGTGTAGCAAAAGCTGTTACATCCATCTGGCACAGTTGTCAAACACGTGCCGTACGTGTGCCTTCCAAAATTAATTAAATATTTACTTAATTAATTAAAAAAAAAACAAATATTCACAAAAATCATATACACCAATCTTTTTGTTTGGTGATCGCTTTTCGACAACAACATTTGACTCTAAATAATTAATTAGAAATAATAAAAGTAAAACTACTGTGTTTTTTTTAAAAAATAATATTTTTTATCTTGTAGTTTTTTAAATTACAAGATGTCATTATAGTTGCAAAAAATATCTAAATTCCTTCCGTTAAATGCAGGCTGTTTTCATCATTTAATCGATATTTTCGTCTTTTACCCTATCAGAAATTGCATAGAGTAAAATCATAAAATAGATTTTGATTAAATAAAAAAACAATTTTTTAATAAAAGGACAAAAATGTCCCTAGTTTAACTGTTGTTAGAAGAAGGAACTAATTTTAAAAAAAATTGAAACTACAATAACTGATAGAAACAAAAGATGTTATTTTTAATGACCAAATTTATAATTTACTCTAATCTATACTATATTAATAATAATAATAATATTGAGTCCAAAATCTTGAAACAAACAATTTCCAAACGCTGTATCCACACGAATCGAATCAAGATATAAAAAACGAAAAAGTAGAGAATTGACTCGATTAAAAAAAAGTATATAAAATAATTGTTTTTTTTTTTATTATAAATTTTCTTTTTGATATCATCATCATCATCATCATCATCAACTCCAAAGCTTAGCTGGCAGTTCACTGCCACCCCCCCTCCCCTGCCTTTCATCTCACCTGCCATGAAATCCTCACCTTTCTCAATTTTCATTCTCTGAAACAATTTTTCATTCATGGTTTCTCTTCAACAATCTCACCGTTCCACGTCGCCCGTCACCCGACCCTACTACACTCCACCTTATTCTTCTTCTTCCTCCCCCGCCAGATTCTACAAGCATATGGGTCGCTCCATGAGAACTGTTCGCTCCAGTTTCTCTAACTCCGATTACACCTCCGCCCTAGGCGATGACAACCTCACGGACTCCGTCCTCGACGTTCATTTACAGGAGCTTGCAACGGCCAACTCTGGGACCTCCTCCAAATCCTCCATGTCTTCTGATGACTTTCTCCACCTCTCCCAAGCCTTCAGCGATTTCTCCGACTGCAGTAGCGATATGTCTGGAGAATTACAACGTCTCGCTTCTTTGCCGGAAGATTCCAAAGAGGATGATCCCAATAGGGAACAGAAGCCCGAGCCGGAGCCGGAGCCATGCCAAGGATTTCTGGAACGGGAGAATTTTTCAACGGAGATAATCGAGAGCATTTCTCCGGAGGATTTACAACCGACCGTCAAGATCTGCGTCGATAGTCTGACCTCCAGCTCCATAGCCGTGAAGAGGTCTGCCGCAGCGAAGCTGAGGTTGTTAGCAAAGAATCGGTCGGATAACCGAGCTTTAATCGGAGAATCAGGTGCAATTCCGGCGCTGATTCCACTTCTCCGGTGTACCGACCCAAAGACTCAAGAACACGTCGTTACGGCGCTACTTAACCTCTCTCTCCTCGACGATAACAAGCCGCTGATCGCCGGCGCCGGAGCAGTGAAATCGTTAATTTATGTCCTAAAAACCGGCACCCAAGTCTCGAAGCAAAACGCTGCGTGCGCTTTGCTTAGTCTAGCTTTGGTGGACGAAAACAAAACGTGCATCGGAGCCTGCGGTGCTATTCCGCCGTTAGTGTCGCTGTTAATGAACGGTTCTAATCGAGGGAAGAAGGACGCGTTAACCACTCTGTATAAATTGTGTTCGATGAAGGCGAACAAGAAAAGGGCGGTGACGGCGGGGGCGGTGAAGCCGCTGGTGGAGCTAGTGGCAGGAGAAACGGGTATAGGGATGGCGGAGAAAGCGATGGTGGTGTTGAGTAGCTTGGCGGTGATCGAGGAAGGGCGGAGGGCGGTGGTGGAAGAAGGTGGAATTGCAGCTTTGGTGGAGGTGATGGAGGATGGTAGATCGGAGAAGGGGAAAGAGTTTGCGGTGGTGACACTGTTGGCGGTGTGTGAAGGTGGTGTTGATAGTGGGAGGAACAGAGGGTTGTTGGTGGGCGAAGGTGCAATTCCGCCGCTGGTGGCGCTTTCTCAGACGGCGACCGCCCGAGCCAAACACAAGGTTAGACCTTTATTATGAATTGAAGAATCCATGAAAATACAAGCTTTAACCAATTCCGTTCTGGTTTAATGAAATGATTATTGTAAATGGATGTGTGTTGATGGGTTTGTTTAATTTTTGAATTTGAAGGCTGAAAGATTGCTGGGATATCTGAGAGAACACAGGCAAGAAGGTGAGGGATGAATATTTATCATGAGTCTAAACATACGCACATTCATTCATAATGAATGCATGTATGTTAATAACATTCGCGATAAATAATACATTCTATTCTATTCAATTCAGGTGGTGCTGTGTACAGTCCCTAGTTGTTAATGAAAATGAAAACATGTGCTGTGTTTGTATTATATTGCTTTTACAGGGAATGAAGCTGATTGGGTTTGAATGTGTAATATGTATGTTTGTGGGTTAGAAATGGAAAGAGGGTTTGTGTAATGAATATATGAATGGAATGGTTGATAATAGTAGCTGGCTTAAAGAGTTATGAGAGTGATGAGATGGGTGGCTTATATTGGCCTTTGCCCTTGGGGGTGAAGTGATGCATATTACGATGGTTGCCACCCCATACGACGACGTTTTGTGGGTCTAATTCCACCTTTACGATTATTCTTTATTTTGAATGCTACCATCACAACATTGATGATATATTTTTTTTAATTACATTTTCACTTCATGTGTTTATTACGAAACCCTATTTTATTGTTTTCATTTCGTTAAAGATGTTTCTTATACAGTGATATTTTGGGAAATCAAAAGTAATGGAATGGAGTAGATGATGTTCGAAATAATATAATAAAGATGAAGGTATCTTTCACCATGCATGTTCTTGATTTTATCACATCAGATTTTACTTTTCTATATATTTTTTAAGTCTTTTATTTTCAAACCCATCACCTAAGTTTTATATCAGTTTGAATTGAATTCGGTCTTATTGTTTTGGTGAACTGATATAAAAATCTATGAACTGGTTCCCTCACTACATTTAAAAATCTTTCATTGGAAATGCTCTTAGTTTGTTAATCGACATGTTTGCTTAAACTAACCTCAAACAAACAAACAAACAAACAACAATAGTATTAATACCACCAAGTGTCCATGTAAATATCATGGATTCTTCAAGATTCAAGATTAGCCACGTTACCCCTATGCAAACATCATCCGACTATTGCCCTATCAAAAAGATGCACTATACCAATCACAAGCAAATATGCATGGTTATTAGATAACAACTAATCAAATTAAAAAAAAAAAAACAGGTCTGAAAATGACTACTTAAGTAGCAAAATATGTTTAAAAAAGACACGACACTATCAACTAGTTTTCCATTTGATGCACACGTTTTTAGGATTTGAACACAAGTCGCACATTGCCTTGATTTTTTTATTTTAAATTTTGTTATGAGATAGAAAGACTTCAAAGTAATTAAAGTTACCAATCTTTATGTTAAAAGCTAGATTTGTCTAAAATATAAATGCATGCATGTCTAAAATCTTTTATGTTAAAGCCATTTGGGTTGTGGCGCACTGGTTATGCTTCAGGGGGATGTAGTGGAAAATCACATCTACCCCAGGTTCGAATCCAAACCTTTGTGGTTCACCCATGATATCTTCAGGTCATTCGTGATCGCCTGAGAACTAGTCGGTGCATGTAAGATGACTCGAAAATCCGTTATCATCCAAAAAAAATCATATGGATGGAAAGAAGCTAAATCTAATCAAGTATACGTTGATATTGCTAGGCTGGAAAAGCACGAATTTAAACAACATTGACCATCAAAAGTTATTCAACTAAGTGGATGACAACTAATATATGTCAAATGATTCCTTCTAGAAGTATAAATATTACTACTCAAAAATGCTTATCACAAAGCATAATAAATTTCATTCATATATTGTACAATCAACTTATATTGCAAAAACAAAAGCATATGATGTAATTAAAATTAAGGGTTATTCGTTTCGTTTTCTGTTAAGACCTGTATGGATATAACTATCTGTATTGACATGGTTGTCTAGATATTAACAAATAAATTGTTGTGCTGAATAAACAGTCTAAATATCAAAAATGACCATTTTATCTCCAATCTTTATTTTTGTCTGAATAAAACAATAGTTTGATGAAAATGTTGAACAAATGACTTATAATTATACAAAAAAAATATCAATTTAATAAAAACAATTTGATTAACACAATTATATGAGTTAAATGTTATAATCAAAACAACATTAATAAGTCCTTATAATAAAAACCCAAGTCAAAACATTTCATTCCTAAAAACATCAAAACCTATTTCTTTATAACCAATGTTCAATTGATCTAAATTTCACTTCATCTTCCTTTTACAACCATTGATTATTGCATCTTTTTTACACCTCTTGATTGTTTGATTTTTTACACAATGTTCGAGAAGGTGGCCATAGTTGTGGGTAGTGATGGCCAAAAACCGGTCCCGCACGGGCTAGGCCGTCCCAACCGGACCCAAGATTTCTCATAACCGGTCCTGATCCCGATAGAAAAAGTTGAGCCTGGTCAAACTTTGTTGTAACCAGTTATGGGCCGTCGGTCCCGGTCATTAAAAAATAAATTTTTTTATTTTTATTTTTTTAATAATATATATTTTTAATACATTATAAAATTTGTAATTTACACTCAAATACACATTAAAAATGCATTTTATTATAATTAAAATTACATTTTCTTACAAAATATAGCGATAAACCGATAATTGTGAACGTTTTTTTGCGTTTTCTTGCGAATCGAGAACTTGGTATGTAAATCCAATACACTTATATATAGTGTTTAGAAAGCAAAAAATACAAAAAGAGGGCAAAAAAAGGGCTAGTTTTTTGAAAAATAACGGCTACATTTTTTAAAAATCAGGCTAGGTCGGTCCCATAACCAGTCTCGGTCCTGCGAAACACCCCAAATCCATAACCGGTCTCAGATTTCGGTCCTATAACCGGTCCTTACCAATCTCGGGCTGGTTTTGCCATCACTAGCTGTGGGTGAGTGCGAGGAAGAAAAAGAAAGATAAATCATGAACCACATGCACTTTTTACAAATGTCCACGCATCTTTTTTCATACACTGCTTGTTTTTAACAACGAACTTGAGGATGGAGGCCATGGTGGTGGGAAGTGCCAAGAAGAAGAGAGAGAAATCAAGAGGTGGGGGAAGCAGAGGAAACCCTTCTAAACCAAAAACGACAGGAAACCTTCACAAGAAACGAGCTTTTGAGGAAAGATATCACAAGACAACGATGGTAGGAAGAATCGCTCTCTGGAGGGTTGGAAAAATCGATTTCGGGAGGAAGATATAGCAGATTTAAGGGATGAATACTTGAAATGTGAAAGGGTAAACTTGGAATAAATAGATGAATAATAGCTGAGCCTATAAGACTCCACTTTTCTGGCTGACTGATTAAGCCATCGACTGACCGAATTCAGTGTTGGAGTACCCATGATATGATGGATTATTTGCAGAGTATAACATCCAATCAAATGTTTTGTGGTGATATATTGTTATAGGATCATTATCATGCCCAAAATTGTAATATTAAAAACAATTTTAGGATTTGATTTATGAATAAAAAAAAAAAATTCAAAATAATGCAAAGAAAACATGACATGTGCCTCATTGTTGCATGATTTGATACAACCAACGTGGAAACATATATAAAAACCAATATCTATCAATTATATATTTATTAATTAACCATAACAAATCTTCAAATATAAATGTTCTTTCATATTTGTTGACCTTTGGAGGTTGACTATTTATTTAAACCACAAATTGGACTTGATTCTCCAATTTTACTCGTCTCTTTCTCCCTCTCCCTCTCAAAGAAATTTTCTAAGCCATCGTTGCATTTGAAGTGTATGAATTTCAATGTGCACTCTTCGATCTGGATTGTGAATTTGATCGCCATACAAGGGTTGAAGAGAAGGTGAAGGACACAAGGGTATGCCCTAATTTCTTGATTCTTTTATGGCGCCGTGTGTTTTTCTTTCTTCTGGTGGGTGTACTTGGAATATGATCATTTCATTTTACTTGGTTTGTGGGTTCTTTTAAAGTTTGTACCTTGTATGCATTTTGGTGTCGATTTTGTTTATGGTTAATTGCCATTTGTGCTGATGACAAGGGAATTCTGTTTCATTTTCGGATACCAGTGTCTTAATTTTGATGATTCATGTTCATGACAACTATGATGCCACACATTCTTTAACATAGAAAATGACATTCTACGCCAAACAAGATTCGGTTCATGATTATCTCTTCAAGATTGTTCTAATCGGCGATTCAGCTGTTGGGAAGTCAAACTTGCTTGCTAGATTTGCGAGAAACGAGTTCTACCCAAATTCAAGATCAACCATAGGAATAGAATTTCAAACTCACAAGATTCAAATTAATGGGAAAGAAGTGAAGGCCCAAGTCTGGGACACAGCTGATCAAGAACGTTTTAGAGCGGTTACATCTGCTTACTATAGAGGTGCTGTTGGAGCCGTTTTGGTCTACGACATCACTAGGCGCCGGACTTTTGATAACATCAACAGATGGCTTAAAGAACTTTACAGTAAGTATCCGTTTTGACTTATTTACAGCCCAAACAAAAGTAGACACTTTCTGATAGCGAAAAGGTTATATTGTTGAACAGCACACTGTGATATGAACGTAGTCACGATTCTTGTGGGCAACAAGTCCGATCTTAAAGATGAGAGGGAAGTTTCGATGGATGAAGGTAAGTCGTTGGCTGAAGCAGAGGGTGTATTTTTTATGGAAACTTCAGCTCTTGATTCGCTGAATGTGAGTAGTGCGTTCCAGATGGTTGTGAAAGAGATTTACAGCATCTTCAGCAGGAAGATCATGATGCAATCTGAAGCAGTCAAGAACGATGATTCTTGTTGGAGAGGGAACGGAAAGACGGTTGTTTTAGAGGTGGGTATTGAAGATGGTCGGCCGAAAAGTGGCTGGTGTTGTTCATCTTAGAAGTCAATAAATACGAGCTCGTTTCGTTTTGTAGACTGCTGTTGGTATAAGTTCCAAGATTTGAATCTTGCCCATGTGATTTGTAATTTGTTGGTTGAAAATGATTAATTTTTGTATTAGAAGATGTAAATTCGAAAAGAAGAAATAGATGATTTTGTTATAATGGCTGTGAGTAATTTCAATAGAAAATGCTTAGTAGGGCATTTCAAACCTTACTGCGAAAACACCATTTTACAGGTTTATATTGTATATGTTTGTATTGTATACAGGACTTGAGAATTCACAGTATGAATAACCATGCCTTGGTTTAACGTTTGAGACATAAAACACTCATGCCTTGAATCAATGAGTATGAATCACCATGTTTCGCAGTGTGAATGTGAATTAACATGTGTGGCCATATATATAATATGAAAAAGGAAAAAGAAAAAAAAAGAATGTTTTAAATAAAAATTAAGAATGAGGAAGGTTTAAAAAGAAAAGAATGTTTGTAGCAGTGGTACAAAATGAAAGATGCAATGTTAAAAGGTCAAACAATGAGACAGATCTGAAAAGATTGTGTGATGCCATGAAAGCTTGGCTTTTTCACAAAAAATAAACAACCAAGAGGCCCCATCATTTCTATTTCTTCTTGTTTTCACCAAGTTTCAAATTTCACACAAACCTTAAAATAACTTCCATATACATACATACATACATATATATAATAAAAAGATAAAATTATGAAAATATAAAGTAACAGGAGGAGTACGCCATGCTAATGTGCCTTGGATGATCCACATCTCAGGGTCAGGCGCCGATGAGTAGATAATTTCCTTGTTAAATAAGTAAAAATCCCTCCACGATATATTTATTGTGTTTATATAAATGTACGATCAACAGATTGTGAATCAAATTAAAGGTTACTAATAAAAAATATTTGGTCAAACTATCTTTGATTACATGAAGTCTTGCAAAAAGTTTGAGATTTGCTGTTTTGCTTTCTTTACCCAGTTATGGTAAGTTACTTGCTTTATTATACACTTTTACATGCTAATGCTAATGCTAATGCTAATGCTAATGCTAATGCTAATGCTAATGCTATTGTTAGCCTTAGGTGGGTTGGGTTGGGTTGGGTTGGGTTGGGTTGGGGTGGGCCTAGGGATGTTGAAGACTAGTAGTAGTAATGTGCATTTGGAATATTTGTCACCTATGCTATGCGATATTGTTGCTATTATTACATTCCATTATATCTTTCATATAATCTTGAAATCTAGAATAGGGTTTGTATATCTTCAATATGTTTTGTTGTGTTTCTAGGTGAATGAAAGTAAGGGGTTTGTTTTCCATTAAGTTGTGTATGGATAAAGATGTTTATGTTTATTAATCTGCCAGTATAGATCGGAAAGGTTGGCTTTCTGCATAAAACACTTTCTTAGAATCTTATTGAATAAGTCACGTCATTTTCTATATCATTAAGTCACTAACAAACAGTCAAATATAGTTGACCGGATAAGTTGCGAGTCCCATTAAGCTTGTTAAGTTGTTAACAAACAAACCCTAAGATTCTAAGAGTCCCAGAAAAGTTAAAGAAACACTTAGTGAAGCAATTGTACAAGAAGGAATACACAAATATATATGCAAGCAAGAATCAATTCAAAGATGTGAAGCAATTAGAGACAAGAAGCTTCCAAGAAAAGGGAACCCAATTTGGTGTTCGTAAAATCTAATCAAACAACAATATCCGCAAAACAAAAAACTAGGAAACTTCGCTGTACATTTACACAGACGGAAAATTCAAAAATAAAAAAAAGACGAAAATTAATTGACATTGGAGAAAAAAGAGTTTGTTTTCTCTCTTCCTTTCCCCTCTATAGCAGTATATTTTATAATCCAAGTTTTGCATCTCATATAAAATCACAATTCTGAAAGCCTATATATCGGGAAACTCAAAATAAGTTCAATCAAACTTACATAAACACTCTTCTTCGTACGAAACTGCTTCGTCTCTAATGTCTTCTATGCAACACTTTCTTCAATTAAGTCTAACCAAATGTATGATTTTCTGAAAAGCCGGTTCTATGCAACACTTTCTTGTGCTGACCGGAAGTACCAAGCAATTCACAATTGTCCAACGTATATTTCACCTGATAACTTTGTAGCAGCGGAAGCAATTCCTGGAAATCAAATAGTGTCAAGTGTTTGTATACATGATTATTCATCGTGAAATTGTTGGTTCCCGGACAAAAGACACATACCTCTATTTGATCTATAGCCAGAATAGCCAACAGAGTTTTTCAGAATGCTGTCTGAAGATCCACTTTCGGGAGCATAACCAAAAAAACCAGCTACTTCCAGCTCAGGAGATGATGACCGCCATGTGGGGTCTGCATAAAAGGAATCACCGCCACCATATGACTTAAGTCCACCAAGAATCAATTATAGAATTCAATTATAAATGAAAAAAAAATGATAAATGAAAAAAAAAAACCATAAATGAAAATACCGACATATGGACGTAATAGAAAAAAAATGGGACGAGGGACCAAGATCATTATAAATGTATGAACAATGAATCCGATAACATGATAAATGAAGTTCAAGAATCAATTTCGTAAAAACCATAATTAACTAATAAAGAAAATAACAATTGAATACGGTTTAATAGAATTCAATTTGATTGGAAATATATGAGTAATTATAAATTAAAAAGAAAATACCCATTTATTATTTAATGATAATACTTCATAGAAATAGAAATAGAAATAGAAATTTAGTTCAAAAGAAACAAAGTGATGAAATGATCCATTCCTTTTTCATTGATTTTGGAACTCAATTCTTTCGATTAACAAATACATCCTCAATCTCTATTATAGATTTGGTTTGTAGAATTTGAAATTAAATTCCAATTCAATAAGAGTTATGTGTGATTTGAATTTGAGATATCAGGATTTCATTTCATTTCATTTCATTATTTTAATGAAATCTCACAACCAGCTCAAAGGCACATGATACCCACAACTGGAACTGGAATGAAAGAGAGGGGTGATGCATCACTGATGCATGGTGGTGGATTTAGTTCAGGGTATTTTGTTTTAGGAGATTTTAAGGATGATATATTTACACTTAGGAGGTCGTTTACTTAAATGCTTACCGCTAAGATTTAATAATATATCTTACTTTACTGGGTAAGATTGTAGTCCATCAAAATGGTATCATATGTAACAATTTAATAGGTAAGCGTTTACCGAGTAAAACCCTCCATCTTTACCGAGTCGTCACTCTCACTTACCAAGTAAGAATCTACGTCTTTATCGTCATTTTTACCGGATAAGACTTTTCATCATTCTCATCACTCTTATTGGATAAGACTCTCTATCTTTATCACTCTTATCGGGTAAGATTATCGGTCCTTGAAATCATTGAGTAAGGTAAATGATATGGTAAACACTTATCATGTAAATGTTTATTAAATGACTCCTTAAGCTTTACGTATTAATACATTTTCAATAAATAAGAGCTATGGTTCTTATTGTAACCGATTGACGAAAAATTGTTAAAATAAAATATTATTTAAACAGATCCAATCTAATCTAATTACTATTAAAGTACAAAAAGAACTTATTGTATGTAATATTTGTATTTTGCATCTTGGTGTATAAAAATAGTTGAAATAATTCGGTGATTGATCAAAATATTGGATAAAACCAAACCAATTTAATCCTTTATTGTTACTGATCGACTGTGTAAATCTAGTTGCATTATGTCGATTATAAAAATTCGTATACAATAAACAACTAAATTAGATCAACTAATCTAAGGGGTGGTTTTTTTTTTTGGAAAGGAGGACAGAACCCCCGGAAATTTTTTATTGAATTGAAAAGGAATTACAAGAAAGAAATGGACATACACCTTTTAACAAGATCAAAAATGAATTCCTAATTTTTTTTTAGGAAATACAATTAATAGAGGCCTATGCAAGATGCCACTATTTTCAAAACCAATCCATTTCAAGGGGGATCCAGCCCAAGACACCATCATTGTGGTTTTGGAGTCTACTTGGCAAGTTGAAACCCAAGCCAAATGTTAGCCACTTTAATTTCCTCAAAACAGAAATCCAAGCCATGTCATTATGGTAAAAAGCCACTGTTGTGCATAGAACCTCCAATTCCTGTCCATATACTTTTGTATTAGTAGCCAGAGATTCCAAGATCATATCACAAGCTATTGTCTTCCCTGAATGATCATATCACAAACTGTTCCAGCAACCCCTGTATTTTTGTCGAAAAATTAATAATAAGAACACATCATCATAAAGAATAACATGTATGAAAAGGAGAATGTACATGCAAAGGATACACAGTCATTCTAGATTTCTTCTCTCTCCTCCCTCATCTCTTCTCTCTCCTCTCTCCTCTCAACTCTCTTCGTCAAACACCTCCTCTCTCCAGTGAACATATATCAACACATGATGCACACTGTGATATGTTTCATAAAATAACGAAAAAACACAGTGTGATACACTTGGTAAAAAAAACATTACCTGATATATTGTGTTACACTTCGTAAAACAACAAAAATATATTGTGATACACTTCGTATAACGACAAAAATACACTATGATACCAAATCTGGTTAATGAATACAACTGTGATACACAAAGATTATAAAGAACATAAGAGACTTGCAACTTTTTTAACGAATCAAAAATGGAGGATTTGATTATAATTGTATTATACCTCACTTTATTTCTGTAATGATTGCACGTAATTGAAGATATGGCGAATGAACCTCCATAAATTGTTTGATTAATAAGGAAACAATATCAATCTATTTGATTGATAACCGTTATGAAAATATTAAGAAAAATTACTAATACACCTTTTTTTTCTTAATTAAAGGTAATACAATTAATATAATAAAAATGATTGACTCATATTGGACCTCACAGTTACCACAAACTAATTAGTTCTTATTTGATTAGGCCTCTATAGGCTTAATCAAATGAGAACTGTTTTGTTTGTGATAACCGTGAGATTCAATCTCAACCAGTTATTTTAATATATTAATTATTCTTTTTAAATTAATGTATAAGGGCATGTTAGTAAATTACTAAATTTAGATTAAATATTTATTTTTTAATTTCATACGTTTCAAACTTTCAATTAATTTTGATTTTACATT